ATATAAATATATACTATAGACAATAGTGTAGCTATGGGACCACTGCATACAATCCCCAAGGCTGGTTCTGTGGCTCCATATTCCCTGGACCACCCTTGTTCTACCCCATAAAGGTTGAATTGCCTCTCCTTGAAGCTTCCAGGAGTTCATCTTTTAAATATGGCTGCAGCACTGATTTTCACATTTTCACATAAAAAACCCTCCAGTGTTTTCCAAACCCCAAAATAGAGCTCTGGTTATTTTCACTTTATTGGTATTTCTGGCAACCTGTGCAGGTCCCAGAAGCAGAAAAGCAGCCCCTAGGCCCCGATGGGTACCTTTGAACTGGATGTCCCAGAGGTATGTCTATGGCAGCATTATTACTAAGGTGATTTTTCTTTCTTTCTTTCTTCATCTATCTATAGGTATGGAAGGGGTCTTCTGGTGCTGTTTCAGATAGAATACATGCATGTTTACACACATGTACAAATGAAATAGATTGAGGCAATCATCGCTGGCACAATTCACTCCTGTCCTCCTCTTCTTACTGCCAATTCTTTCCCAAAAGAGCACTGAATTAACAAAAATAAACTATATTCTGCAAAAATTATGCCTTAAATCCAATTGCTAGTCCAGTTTAGAGTATGGCCATTTAAAAATGGACTATTCTTGGGGTTGAGGTTAAAAAAGTAACTTTTCCACCCTCTGGTTAGGGAACAGTAATAACTGGAAGGAAAGCTTGGTAAGTTAGACGTCATCCCTATTGATGAGAGTGGAATTACATATTTCCTTCTCCCTGTGTAATTCCACTGGCAAATGCTGAAGATCTGAGCCATGGGGAAAATTGCTTTTCTGTTACAAATCGTCAGTGTATCTGTGTTACATTTTTAAAATAAACAAAAATCTTCTTTTAAGATTAGAAGATCCTGTTGAAGCTCTTCCCAAGCTGACTCATATTTTGTTAGTTCACTGGTCTGATTAACTACCTAGCCATGCAAAAGAGCTGTAGGAAGAAAGATGTTTATAATTTAAATAAAGCACATCAAAGCCCAAGGTCTTTTTATTGTACTACTTATGACAGATTAGCCAGAATGAGTGATCATGATGATTCCTTAGCTTCCTAAAGATTATCTCCGGTCAAATTTGCACCTTACTATTGAGATGATAATGTTTTTGAATATAGATATACTGGTGCATATTTAGAGATACAGTTCTTCCCACTCCCTTCCTTTAAAACAGAAGTTATATGGCCAAGGCTGCTGCCAAACTGCAGAATTAATGCAGTTTGACACTGCTTTAATTGCCATCCTACAGAAGCTTGGGATTTGTAGTTTTGTGAGGTACCAGAGCTCTCTGGTAGGAAAAGCTAAATATCTCACAAAATTACAAATCTGTAGTCTACTCTGATTGGGACACAATTGGATTTAAGTCCTTGTTTTTGCTGCCACAGGCTACTTGTCAAGGAGCTGGTACACTTGTAGCACCAAAAGTATTTATGAAGTATTTCATACTTACTTCACTTCAAAGCAAGCTGGACTGTGAAGTAGTTCTGTGATTAATCCTTGGGACAATAATGCCTTCTTTAGAAAAAAGCTTTCTTTTTATAGGGTTTCAGTTATATGACCCACATGATGTAGGTATAGTTTATTTTGCCCAGAATATTTGCTGAATGTATCATATGATACATGTTGTGCTTTGTTCCTAGTAAACAAGGAAACCTTCCTAACGGACTTGGTAACAATAGACTGAGGCAAAAGATAAATTATATGTTGTTGTTAACTGGCTTCAAGTCAATTTTGACTCATGGCGACCCTGTGGATGAGAGACCTCCAAGTCCCCTTATTCTTAACCTCATAGTTTCTTCAGGTGCCTAGCCATAGCCTCCTCTAGTATGTAGCGTACCTCTTTTTCTCCTATCCTCTACCTTTCCAAGCATTATTGTCTTTTCTAGAGAATCATGCCTTCTCATCATGTGTCCATAGAATGACAGCCTCAGTTTGGTCATTCCTGGCTTCAAGGGAGAGCTCAAGCTCGATCTGTTCCAGTACCCATTTATTTGTATCTATAGCACTCTTCTCCAGCACCACATCTCCAGTTATTTTCTTTCTGTCAGCTTTCTTCACTGTTCTGCTCACAATCCATGCTTGATGTTGGGAAATACAAAGATTTGGACAAATCTTACTTTACTGTTCAGTGTTATATTTTTGCTTTTTATGGTCTTGTATAGTTCTTTCATAGCTGCCCTTTGCAGTCCTAATCGTCTACTGAAAAATGATATACTCCTCTTCCAGAAGTTTTGGGTTATCACTCACATAATCCCTGATCATTGGCCATGCTGTTGTACTGATAGTAATTGTATCCCACACTTCTAGAGGGCACCAGATTGTTTACTTCCAATGCAAAACATATACTGTAAAATTAATATGTGCAAGGAAAATAGGAATTGGAAATGTGGACTTCTCTTTTCTTGTTTATTTGGATGGAAAGGAGCCACCCCCCTGTATGCAGGTTACTGCCAAAACAATTCTGAGTGATGGGCCTACTACAAACAGTGATAACCACTTGTTCTGTCATCATTGCTCTTGGAAAAATGGGTCCAAAAATATCAGGGAATTGAGTGGGAAAATTACTTATTGAGATTTAAATTGTAAGCCAAGCAGCGGCTTGATCAGATTAGTTCGGGCTGAATAAAAATAGCACTAAGCAGAATCAAGGAAATGTGCTCAATATATTCTAGACTAGAAGAACTGACAGCTATGGGGGTTTGAATCTTTTGAAGCGCCACTGGAAGGCCCACCTTTCCAAAGAGCTCAGGTTTTGTGAGGAATCTTTCAGCCTTGCCCTGCCTTGAAATGAAAGGCTATCTGATGCCATTCATCCTCTCCTTCTGTTTGCTTTGACCTACCATCAAACTTTCTAAACAAAAGCTGGAAGATGGCTGCTGGTAGGCTGGACAACAGCTCACCTTTAGACCTTCTTGGAAGTTCTCTTCTCATTGCTAATTATTTTGCCTTGTTTTGCCCATTTCCCCCCAAACTACAGGTTTTGATTTCCAGGTCCTCTGATCCAAGTAGGCTGCCTTTTTCCAGGTTTGTCACCTGTCAGATAGTTACCTGGAGGGCATCTTTTCCCCACTGTTTCTGACCATATTTGTAGAGAGGAGTTGGGTACAAGTTCACACATGCCTACAGAAAAGATCACCAAATCTGAGTTACACAACTGCAGGCATTCCCATAGAACTCAGATCAGCAAATGAGCCTGAATCAAATTGCTAGTCCTGACCAGAGTAGACTCACTGAATGCAAAGGAACTTGATATCCACATTTTTCTAAATTCTAATAAATCAATGGGTATATCACCAATTTGCATTTAGGTCATGACATTGAAGACTACCTGGGGATGTGGGCTTTCCAGCTATGGTCTCATTTCCAAGGGAATTACTGTTTTAAAGAGTGAGAGCAGAAAAAAGAAGTACTTTTTCACTCAGTGCATAGCTACAAGGAAGCATTTCTTTCCACAGTGGATAGTGTGTGAGACAAGAAGTGTTGATAGCTGCCAACGCAGATGGTATTCAAGGGAATTGCATGAATTCATGTAGGATAGGACATTATGACTATATATTACCTCCAGTGCAGCAGGCAGTATGTCTATATACCTCAGTTGCTGAGGAGCATGAACAGGAGGTCACATTTGCCCTCGTAATATGCTTTTGGGCTTTGGATAGGCATGTTTTTGGCC